GCGGGTCCGACAGAACCCATGCCACGCCCCCAACGAAAAGAAAGGGCAGTCTGCTAGCCAGGAAGACCCCGGAACCTCCAAACGTACCCAAAAACGGGAAGAAGAACCGAACTCAAACGAGGACGGATCCATTGGGGAGGCATAACCCGGGTCTCGCAAGAGGTATGCAGCTAGAGCTTCCCGAGCCACCTTCGCGGAGAGACGGGAAGTAGCAAACCCCTGTAAAGACGGAGCCGAGGTACCCAAAGGCGCCCGGAACCGAACACGGGGAGGAGCCGAACCCAAATCATACTCATACAGGGAGGGAGGATAAGAAAACCCCTCCCCCTGCAACAATAAACCCCGTGGGGAAGGCAAAAGCACCCAAGCGGGGTCACAGGGGGCCCAAGGCCCCCAGGCCGACTCCTCCCCAGCCCCAGGATCCCTTACGTCGGGACCCGGGGCAGAGCCGTCCTCCAAACACTCTACCCCTGAAGAAAAGGTAGAGTCCAAGGGAAAGGCAGACAAGGGGGCCTGCTGGTGGGACCCAGAAGCCTCGGCAGGAGGAACTGGCTCAAATGCCTCCGTCCCCGACCCGGATGGGGCAGCCCCCGAAACAGCCCGAGTCTCTCCACCAACTAAATCCTGTGCCAAGGCCGAAAGCCGCATACGTTTCGGAGCCGGACACAGGGGGGGTGGTGCAGGAAGAACCACAGGGGAAGGACCAGAGGGCGTAGGAGTCAAAGCCATAGCAATCAACGCCCCCAGGTCAGGGTCCCTAAAGCCAAAACGGGGCAGCCTCGGGGCATCCAGGCGGGAAACCGACCTAGCGCGTTGCAATAACCTAAATCTAACATGCAACGCTGATGCTGCCTGTACTCTAATAGGAACATCCTCAGAGTAAAACCTGAGCACAAGCAGAGAACAGGACTCGCAAGACTCCGGGTCAAAGGTGTCATTGACCCAACAGGCAGCATGACGGAGGCAAAACAGGTGACTGTCACCCTGAGACAAGGGCACACTGCAACCTTCAAACCCGTACAAGGCAGGCTGGAACTCGGGAGACGCATCCATGGGTCCCCGAGCCCCGACAGGGGTTTCCAGGGCCCGTAGGGTAGCAACTACGGGAAGCCCGGGCAAGGTGTTGCTAACCGGTTAAGAAACCCAAACAAAACACGGGTAAATGATAATACTGAAAACCCCTGGGACGTGTACAAGCACGGGGGCCTAGCAGAGGACCACCAAAACAATACCAGGGGAACTATGGGCCCACGAGGCAGCACCTCCACCAGGCAACCAAAAACAAAACAAAAGTAAAACCCCGCAAAAGTACACCGTCCCCAGAGCAGCAGGAACCGGTCGCCGCTTGGGTGGCAGGCCGCGCAACACCTTGACGCCCTAACCAGCACAAAACCACTCCCTACCCAAGGCCAAACAAGGGCCCCAAGCCCCAGCTGGCCCCAAGGGCGAGGCAAATGCCGAGCAGCAAAAACCTCTACGGGAGCGGTTCCCGAACGCCCCAGAGAAGATAACCCTGACACGCAAGGGCAGTACTCACAGGGCGCCTAGGGAAGGAAGCCCTAGACGCATGCAGCCCCGGCACTGATGAAGTACTCCTGGCCACCGCACACCACAACAACAGCAGAGAACGCCACACGAGGCAAACACTGCCAAGGAATTTGAGGCCAGAGAAGCATCTATCCCGGTTGACACTAGCTTGCGAACTGACGGCAGCCGGCGCGGTGAGGTCCGGGGCCCCCCCCCTCCCCCTCCCGGGGAGGGGAGGGCTGCGCGGACGACCGGCGCGGCAGTAAATTGATTGTTTGATTGTTTTCCTTGGGATTGTAGGGAGTTTTCTACCTCTCTGTTCGGTTTTTGTTGTAGTTTTTTACCATGTGGGGTTTGTTTTGTTACGCCTACCTTTCTGGGTGCCTAACCCCGGTCGATGGCAGATAAGGAAAACCCCCAACCATATGGGGTTTTCCAGGGCCATTGCTCCCTGAAACCTCTCTGAAGGGGCCAGGTTCTGGCGCTGGTCCCTGGTAGGTCTGAACTCCATAGCTAATGTCCCGGTCTAACATAACACACATTAGCCCGATAAGCTCCAGGGAGCCGTAGGGGCTCCCCCCAGAAAAGGGCGCAAAACACCAGCACTGAAACACTGCCCAGACCAAAACAAACTCCACGGCGCATGCGCATAACACGCTGGCCGAACCGCACACCCTCCCTGCGGGAAGGCGCCAGCCAGGACTACTGCACGAGAAAATTAGCCAAAAGAGGAAGCAGGAACAAGAAAACCGGCCAAAGAAGCAAAGAGCCCAAAAAGGAACCCAACCGGGCGACAAGTAGCCCAACCGGGCAACAAGTAGCCCAACCAGGCAACAAGTAGCCCAACAGGGCTACAAGTACGAGGAGCCGACAGACGTTCCAATAATGCGGGAAGTAGCGAAAAACCTTCCCGTACCCTCGAGAACACAGAAGCCAACACTAGTCCCGAAGGCGCAGGCGCACCCGAGATCAGAAGTCACGCAGAACCCCATCGAACGGGGAAACATGACAAAAACACCGTCCCAAAAAGGGGTGGGAGGAAACATCCACCCACAGGACGGAACCAACCGACTCAAAGGCCAAGGAACCGAGCCCGGGGAAGGGCCGACGTCCAACAGCACGTACGGCAAGTGGGGAGGAAAGACCCCACTCCGCGTAACCACAAGCCCCGCCCAGAGGGGGATAAAAACCCCCACGGGGTCTAACGGGGCCAAGGCCCCCCCAAGTCAGCCCCCCCCCAGCCCCGGGAACCTACACGACAGGCCCCGGGGCCGAGCCGTTCCCCCAAAGCCCCGGCCGTACCAGAAAACCGGGGCAGCCGTGAAAACACTAAGGAAGGGAACCCACTGGCAAACTCATACAACACGGCTGGAGGAACAGGCTCAAATGCCCTCGTCACGACCCCGGAAGGGGAATTCCCCCGAGACTGCCCGAGTCTCAACTCCACCAAAAACCCCGCCCCAAACTACAGACGGTAAGGAACCGGATGCAGGCAGGAAGGGTGATCCAGGGGAAAGACAAGGGGGCGTGGATGGAACCGAAGCAACCAACACCCCCAAGTCCCAAAACGAACTACAACGGGGCAGCCCCGGGGCTCCCGGGGAGAAAACCCCGAGAACGTTGCCACCACCAAGGCTCAAGTGCAACGCCCCTGCTGCCCGCACCCGCTTTGTTAGCACAACTGGGTAACCGAGCCACAACAAGCAACCAAACTCGCAGGACTCTGGGTCGAAGGTGTCACCGACCCCACAGGCAGCAGACGGAGGCAAAAACAGAGTCACCCAGAGACAAAGGGTGAGAGCAACCCTCAAACTCGCTGGAAGCGAGGGGGGACTCTGGGATCACATCCATCGGACCCGCGCGCCCCCAGGGGTGTCCCAGGGTCCTGAGCGTTTACTTTAAGAGGACTCGCGCTCAGGTAATCCCAGGCAGGGTACTGCTAACCGGCACCCAAAGCTACCAAACAACTTTCTAAGAGCTGAACCCCCGGGACATGTACACTCACGGGGACCTAGCAGGGGTACCACCAGAAAATACTCAGAACACAAGGGACACAAAGGGCAAGAACGAAGGCAGACCCCCCCCCACCAGGTAGATAAACAAAAAGAAAAAGAAAACCCCGCAAGAGGACAGCGTACCCAAGCGGAACAGAGCCGGCCGCTATGATTGGTAAAGACAAGCTGCACAGTACCCTGCGCCCCACCAGTGCAAACACTGCCCCTTACTCTAAGGCGAACAAGGGAGACAGAACACCCGAGCACACAAAGAGCGGCCGAAAACCAAGCAGTAAACGGCCAAGCAGGGGCAGGACCCAAGGAACTTGTGGAAGGTGGCCCCAAGCCCCAAGGGCAGTACTTACAGGGCACCTAGGGAAGGGAGCCCTAGGCGCATGCAGCCCGAGTACTGAAGAATCACTCCCGGCTCACGCACCACCTAGAAAACAGACACCACACTCTAGGTACAGTGCTGAAACAACCACTGGAGCCGGAGCACATAACCATTGCCTATAGCATCAGCCGAAGAACTGATGGGTGGATAGCCAGCGTGGGAGGTCTGGGGCTCCCCCTTCCCCCTCCCGAGGAGGGGGGAGCTGCGCAGACAGTGGCGCGGTGACGTATGACGTCATACTAGTTTCCTTGTTTTCTGTTGAAGAGTTCTATCCACTACTCCGGCTTTAGGTAGCAATTTTCACCAGAATAGGGGTTTGTTTTGGAATGCTTACCTTTCTGGATGCTTGACCCGGTCGATGGCAGACATAGAATGCTTCCAATCACACGGGGGTTTCTATAGGCCATTGCTCCCCTTGCCTCTCTGAGGGGGCCAGGTTCTGGCTCGTGGTCCCCGGTAGGCCCTAGAACTCCATACACATGACTGATGCCAAAGTCTGACATTAGCATATCAGCCGGTAAAGCTCCGGGGAGCCGACGGGGCTCCCCCCAGAAAAACTACGAAAAATCAATCAGAGACATTGAAAAAATTAGAATTATCTTTTTGTGGCAACTCCGGCCTGACAGCTGGCGAGCAATAGACCGCCTGGGACGCACGCCGAGTCAGCGCCTATAATTTGCCAGACTTCCCCGCCCTATAGCGGGCAATATATGCCACTTACGATTTTTTTATTATTTTTCCCGTGATCAGTGAACACAAATTAACAGGTTAGGAAGAAAAAATATATATTTTTTTTCAAAATGACATGCGCCTGTGGGGATGACAGGATATTAAACCCCGAGCATGTTAAGGGTTAAAGGCATGAGAATAATAATAAACAAAAAATATATGAAATGTGGGATGCCGTTGCAAAGATGGATTCATTGGCTAAGTACTGTATATTGACGTAGACACCATATTGTGACTCATCAACCACTTGCCTGTTAGCAAATTCTTTTAGGTCTGCCATTATATACCTGAGCAAGATTACAATGCATAGAGAAAGTAGATTACAGCTATCAAATAATAACAAATTAAAAATATAACTGGTTCATTCATTTTATTCATTCACTGCTTATAGTTTCATTAATGTATAAGCATAACAACACTTAAAGCAAATAAAAATATGATTTTTCTATTATTTTTAAATACAATTATCACCTGTTTATAACAATGTCAAACACATTTCAGCTTTCTCCAAGTTATAAGTCTTATATCTATGACTCTTCCTTAGAATAAATGTTGCACTGGGAGGCAACTACAATATACAGCATTGTATTTGTAAATATCACAATGAAATGTCATGATCAATTAGTCTTTTAACCCACAAATCTGAAAATTAAGGACATGACAATGTTTGTCTTCATCCTGGACCATTATCATGTTCCATTACACAACTTAATAATGGTCCAGGACAAACTCAAATGTCATCATTTTCTTTATTTTCAGATCTGTGGGTTGGGCGTTTCATTTTCAGCCATGTTATTGTGACTTATGTCACCATGTTCATTTCATATACAGTATACAGAGTAAAAGAGAAATTATTAGAATTAAAGGAACAACAAATCACAAATACATCTTAAAAAATCCTTAAGATTATCAAACCTCAATGGTAGCAATATAAACATTTCAAAAAGCCAGGTTATCTAGCTCCATCCCTTTGTAAACGAGCGGCTTTCAACGTCGGAATATAACTTCGAAGGCAACTCATGAAGTCAGTCATAGCATATGTCAGTGTTTGATCAATAACATATTGGGGAATCCAGCCTTTGAGATCAGTGTCAAGCAGCCACTGGAAATGACATTTCTTTGGTGCCTCATCAGCTGGATGAAACACAAAACATCCTGGACCATTGTCTCCCCTAGAAGAAAACACATATAATTAAATACTATTATAAAAATTACATGATAAACATTGAAGACCTGTTGCTTAGGATATAAGCCAAATTAGCAAAATTACAGAGTTACTGACAGTGCAAGGCAAAACCAAAGTAATAACAGTTAGAAAACTACTTAATTTGCATTCTAAGTACAGAGTGATATTTAGACAAATTAGTTCCTTGACACCCCAACATGTGTTCAAATTGTATATATTAATGCTGAAAATCTTACAGAAAATATAGTACTGGATTTAATGTGCTCCAAGACTAAGAATTCTATTTCATAAAAAAACAGCATTGAATGTAATGAAACACCAGTTTCTGGGTGAGACCCAGAGGCTTCCTGGAGCTAACTGGGCTGATATGAATATATTAAACCCTGTCAATGCGCATGGAGTTCTAAGCCTACCGGGGGGTTCCACAAGCCAGAACCTGGCCCCTCCCCCTCAGAGAGGCACAGGGAGCAATGGCCTATAGAAACCCCCGTGTGGTTGGAAGCATTCTACAGTACGTCTGCCATCAACCGGGTCAGGCACCCAGAAAGGTAAGCGCCCCGAAACAATTTCTGGTTGGAATATTGTTACTGAAAGCCGAACTAGTGGACAGAACTTCCCAAATGAAAACGAGCAAATGAGCATGACGTCACCATGTCACCGGGCCGCTGTCTGCACAACCCCCACCCCCTTCCCATGAGGGGGAAGCGGAAGCCCAAGACTACGGTGCCGGCTATCCACCCTTCAGTTCTGTGGCTGACGTGAACTGGCAAGGTCGTGCGCCTCTGGCTCCTGTTTTTCCAGTTCTGTGCCTTGTGGTGTGGTACTGTCTAAGTGGTGATGCACAACCTAGGAGTCATTTCAAAAGTACTCAGGCTGCATGTGCCTTGGGTCCTCTTCCCTAGGTGCCCTGTACGTACTGCCCTTGGGGCTTGGAGCCACCTTCAACAAGTCAGCATGGAATCTACCTCTGCAAGGTCTTTTTCTGCTCAGTGATTGACTGCCTTTGGAGTCAACTGGGGTGTTTCATGCACCACTGTTTGCCTCTGGGTAGGGGGGTAGTTTCATCACTGGTTGGGGTGCAGAGTACTGTGCAGCTAGTTTTCACCTCTCATAGCTGCCGGCTTTGTTCTGCATGGGCAAGTTGTCCTCTTGCGGGGTTTTTGTTTTGTTTTTGTTTTCCTGCCTGCCTTTGGTCACACCCGATTATATCTTGGTGGTCCTCCACTAGGCCACTGTGAGTATACACATTCCGAGGGGTTCAGCTTTTGCAGTTTGATTGGTAACTTTGAGCGCCAGTTAGTAGTACCTTGCCTGGGCTTCCCTTAGCAAGATTACCCGAATACAGGGCCCTGGGAAAACCCCACGGGGGACTTTGGTCTGATGGATGCGACCCCTGGGTTTCCTCTTGCTTCATGCGAGTTTGAAGGTTGCTTTGTCCCCTTATCTCAGGGTGACACTCACCGATTGTGCCTCCTTCATGCTGCCTGTTGCGTCGATCAAGCTGATTTGATGTCACTTGCTTGGATTGTATAATTCATCTTATGTGGCAATTCCTGGATCACGATGGCAGCACAGTCTTCTCCGTCAGTTTCATGGAGAAAATCACGCGAAGAGATAACGACAGAATCAAAGAGCTTATGCTGGTCTGATTCATCTTGGTTAATAGTGTTGCTGTTGTAGGGTGTTAAGATGGTTTCAAACTTTTGTAACATGTCTTCCTGCTTCTTAGTGGTTTCTGCTGGGTTAAAGTTAGTAACTGTGTTCTTAAGAGAGCTTAATTCCTGTTCGAGGAGGTCGATTCTGGCAGACAGATCTTGATTATTCCTGAGCATGGTTGTAGTCTCACCTTGCAGGTTCATGATTAATGTCGACTGCTCTCGGATTACTGCCATTTGTTCTTCATGTATTTGGGTTAATAACCTGAGCCATGGGTTATCAGCAAAGCACTTGAAGTCAGAACAAGGGGCAGCAGCTCGTTTAAGTTGATCCATACGGTTACATAATTGTTGCATGGCCCGTGTCACTGACGTCGTTCTACCCAGCCGAGATGTTTTGTTATTGTTGTCAAGGGGAGAGTTGGTACCCCCCCCTGTGGCCCCAGAGGGGGTGGGCAGCTGCATTATTCCTGTTGCTAGGGTTATTCCTGATAGGTGAGCTATCTTTTATAGTGGCCTTGGGTTTGTTCTGCATGGTAGCAGGATAAATGTAGGCAGGCACAATAGGAAAGACACGTTGATGTGGTAGCAGTGAACACCAGGTACAGCTTCCTCCAGGGAGCAACACTAGTGCAACATATTGTGTAAAAACATGCTGTCACAGATTATTGGAGCAAAGACCAGACTGTTCCAACACCTTCGTTCAGGAAATATATGTCCCGAGACAGGTTTCAGATACTCCTCAGGTGTCTTCATTTTGCAAGTAATGAAGACCAGACAGAGGATGATAGACTTTAAAAGAGTCAGGTACATTATGAATGAAGTGATTGGAATGTACAGAGATTTCTACATACCAGCACAGAAGCTGGTGACTGACGAATCCTTTGTGCTTTTCAAAGGACGTGTTGGGTTCAAACAGTATATTCCCTCCAAACGCAACAAATTTGGATTGAAATTCTTTGTTCTTTGTGACTGTGAAACAGGATACGTGTTACACATGATTCTGTATTCTGCTAGCGATGTGGACATTCCCGATAACGACCAACATTGTTTCTCAGGTAGTGTGGTGAAGTCACTGATGGCACCATGGATGAACAAGGGCCACATTTTATACAACTAAACCACCAGGGCAGGCCCCGGGGGCGAGTTGTCCTCCCAAGTCCCAGCCTCACAAGAAAAAGCCAGGTCGGCCGAAATAGCAGGAAGAGAGTGGGCCCACTGGTCAGACCCCGGAGCAATGGCTAGAGGAACAGACTCGAAGGCCTTCATTGCAACCTCGGAAGGGGCAACCCCTGAAACTGTCCGAGTCTCAAACCTCGAAACCCTGCCCTGGTGGTTCCCGGAGTTGGGGAGGAGCTGACTTGGTGGCCTTGGTCCCCGTTGGACCCCGCCTGGGTTTTCCAACTTTCTGAGCGTGGTTTACTGTTACAAGGAGTGGGTTTTTTTTTTTCCTCCCCTCCGTGTATGAGTTGCGTTTGGGCGTCGGCACCTCCCTGGGTTCGGTTCCATGTCCCTTTGGGTCTGTCGGCTCTGTCCTGTGGGGCGTTTCTTCACTTTCCCACCTTTCTTCTCTAGGACCTGTGTTCTGCATCATGCCACAATCATTTTCTGTTGTTTCGGGTCTTGCATGACCATTGGTCACGGATGTTATTGGGTGCATCTGTGCCTCCGTGATTTTGTGTTTGTTGGTCTAGGTTCCATCCCTCCATCCATCCATCCCTCTAGCCATCCATCCTGCCATCCATCCTTCCATCCATATACCCATCCCTCCATCCTTCCATCCCTCCATTCATCCTTCCATCCCTCCATCCATCCTTCCATCCCTCCATCCATCCCTCCATCCATCCCTCCCTCCCTCCATCCATCCTTCCATCCATCTCTTCATTCTTCCATCATTCCATCCATCCCTCCTCTCCTTCTTCCAGCCATATATATCCATCCATCCCTCCCTCCCTCCCTCCCTCCATCCCTGTCCAGATATGTCCAACAAAGTCACAGAATGAATACTCCAGCCTCATGATAAATCAAAACAATGTGCCATAAATCTGTGACGTGACAGGGTAGAAGGCACTAGAGTGGTGCACCAAGTGGATGTCTACAAAATTTATCTTACCTGAATGTTACTTGAAATATTACCTACACGTTAGTGTTTAAATTAAGGTTGCAGTACAGTAATTTTAGTGTAAAATAGTTTTCATAAACTGTATTGTAGTACTCAGCATAAAGCAGAACTACTTATCAGTACAGTGCTAACGGCATAATACAATACAGTACGTATTTACTGAACAGCATTCACAACTCCATGAGAATTCAAGATGGACATAACTCTAACAATATGGTAAATAACAACTGTAACAGTATTTTTTAGTAGAGTACTAATATACTGTATAGGAATAGTATATAATGTGATAATGAATTTTTATTGTTTACAAGAAAAAAAAAGACACTGACGAAAACGCCTCTTGAAGGTCACCTCTTGCAACGAATTCAATGCTGCAACACACCGGGGTTGGTCCCATATAGTGTGTTGAATTGAGGTTGTACAGTACTATCAACTGAAGTATATTTAACATCTACAGTATAATAGATAACATCTACAATATATAAGCAGGTTGCAAACAGCAGAGTTAGGCATGCAACACATAACACATGATCAGGTCATACTGAAAGAAGTAAACATTAGCATAGCAATACTGAGAACATCATCTTACACTTCTATGGTATTTAGTTTTTCTTTTAGCTTACCGGACAAATTTTTTCTGAAGAGGTTCATCGTCATATTCAACAGAAACAGCAGCACACACCCAACTATCACCAATCTTCTTCCAGTGACGCACACTGACGAAATCTCTGGCAGTAACCACACCACCGGGACCTTCTGACGCTACTTGGTACACAACATCGGTGTTACTGTCTAGGGTCTGTTGAATTATAATCATTTATAGAAAATCATATCAATAATCCAAATACTGTCTCCACTCAATTATCTGGACTATATGGGAAGGACCCCCAGCCGGATAATCACATTTTCCGGATAAGAGTACTTTTTCACCTCTGAGTCCAAAAGTGACCATTTTCAACTATTTTTATATTACAAACAACATAATTTGAATTGCCTTCCCACATATAATTATTAAATATTTAACTAGAAACCTCAACTTACCTTGTTGTTTGTCACCTTGATTGATGCCACACATTTTGAAGTTAAGAATTCTTGACAATTTACGTAACTTATACTAACACAACACTAAAATTAACACTTAAAATTACTGTACAGTTCTTTAAGTAAAGTTAGTTTTAACTGCCAGCTGCTGAAGCCTTACTGGTTGAAGGCACTTGGCTTGATTTTCCTACCATATAAGAATCAAGTTTAGCTTGCCTTCTGTGTTCATTGGCCTGTTGTATTATCAGCTCTTTGGTTCGCCTTAGGTACTGATACATGTTTCCAACTTCTGGATTAGCACAGTTGGATGAAAAATTTATTAATCCGTCAACATGTCCACGGTCAACAACCGTGGACATCTTCAAGAGGAAACTAGATTGTTTCCTTCAAGGAATGCCAGACCAACCGGGCTGTGGTGGGTATGTGGGCCTGCGGGCCGCTCCAAGCAACAGCCTGGTGGACCAAACTCTCACAAGTCAAGTCTGGCCTCGGGCCTGGCTTGGGGAGTAGAAGAACTCCCAGAACCCCATCAACCAGGTTAACATAGGTCATGAGTAAACTGTATTTTGTAGTCAGTGGTGTTGGTTCTTCATTACCTTCTTCAACCTCCTCCTCTTCGTTGACCTCACCAGTAACAGACTGGATAATCTCGTCTCCACTCATCACACCATATCCTGGGTCATTGGCATCTCTTTCAAGCCAATAAAGCACATCCTGTCGTTCTAAGTTTTCGCCAGCATTTCTGAACATTCCGTGGATTTCATCTGTAAATCCTTCAAAATTAATTTCTTCATCCTCCTCATTGCTGACCGTAGACATGAGGAGTTTTTTCCAGGAATTCTTCAAAGTCGATTCCTTTACTTCCTTCCACACCGTGGCCCAGTTATAGATAGCTTCCTTGATTGTATAGTTCTTCAAATTCTCAATGTTTTTTTTAGCTCTGTTATCCACACCGTGAACCGCCAGGAGAGCCAAACCCAGAGAACTCAGCAAACGAGTCGCATGAAGCGATACACTTATATCGCATCAAGCTTGGATACCCATGTGCATGGGAAATAGGCTTACAGGTTCCGGAAGATGAGAGGAAATGTCAACACTGTGGAGAAATGCCCGACAGACCACTGGAGCGTTATCTAACACAGTGCACAGTTACAAACCCATTAAGATTTCAACTTCGATTCAACAGAGCAGAAGAAGTTGTTAAACACATATGGCAAAATCTTATTGAAGCGACCATACGAGTAATAAATACTCCTACTCCACCCAAGTAAAACAGAAACAAGCAACACTTAGTGGGCCAGCCAGAGGCTTAGGGCCCGCACAGGAATATCCCTAAAAAAAAAAAAAAAAAAAAAAAAAAAAACTGAAACGACCAGCTCTAAAGAGCCAAGGACCGCATCGAATCCCTGCAGTTCAGACAATGAACTACCAGGGAGCAGTCCGAATGGTGCCGGATCGGTGCTCTGTGAGCAACATGAACCCCCTGAAGCAAATGCCACACAGCCGCAAACTCCTGCGCCGTGCTGTGAACCCGACGGAAGGATGTACCCCATTGACTTTCGCCGGCCCCATTAGCACTGGTCACAAAACCCCAGTCGAGAGACGAGGCATCCGTGAACACTTCGAGCGAGGGCCCGGGGAGGCGTCAGGGCACAGAACCCCGAAAAACCCTCAGAGGAAGCCGGCGACACAGCAGCCGACGCAAGGCTCCCAGAATCCGAACACAGTGATCACGAGAGCGGCAGAAGGGATGCCCCCCAAGATCCCACTCGACAGGTAGACCAGCACGACGAAGATCAGGCTCCTGCACCGCCGCCCAAACAAACGACGTGTGACCTGTGTGCCCTTCAAAAACAGTCAAGCGGGACTGCAGCCGCCAGAGGGAGAGACAAGGAAGCGGTCCAAGAATCCCACACAAGACCCAGCCCAGTCCAAACCTGAGGGGGAACCAAATGGGACTTCTACCAGTACACCAAGAACCCAAACCCGGCGAGCAGACATGCGGATTAGCTGGGAGCCCACACCAGCCAATCGTCAAAGTAAGCCAGAACTCAAACGGGTCACTACGGTACGTGCTAATATGCATCCTTAAGGTCCAGGGACACCATCCAAACGTCCGGCTCCAACAGAAGACATACCTGGGACAGAATACTCATGCGAAAGGAGGGGCAATAAACCCACAGGGTCAGATGGGACAAGTTCAGAATGAACTGCAGGTTTGCGCAGTCTGTTTCGGGATCAGAAACAGGCAGAAACCCACCTGAGGGATGAGGTCGTTTTGACCACGCCCAAGTGAACCCACTTCGAGATGACTCAGCAGCACACAGTAAATGAGGAACCCTGCGGGCCCCAAACCCCCTGAAGGAGGAGGAGCCACCCAATGCCACACAGGCCACACGAAATGACCCGAAATGCCCACAAATCGTGGGGCCACGGGCGAGCAAACAGAGCAAGCCTCCACCCCCCCTACCGCCTTGTCAATGGGACAAACCGTGAAAAAGCCGACGCACTGTACGAGCACCTAAATGGTGCACAGGGTGGTCCGCACGCCAAACAGGAGCAGATGGTACCAAAGGCTGCGCCGGTACCAAATCTGGCACCACTGGCCTACAATGACGAGAAGAACCCCAAACACTGGCATGACCCCGCCAGGAGGGCCCCCCACAAGCCCCCCAGAGGCCCAATAATCCGACATAGGACGGCAACTAGCCAAAGCTACCTGCAGATACTGCACAACCGCAGACTCCAGAAACAGCAACAGACAAAAAGGCAAAGACAGTCTAAGTGCCAGATGCAAGTTCCACCGAAGGCAACACACCAGACCCAGAGGCGATCTCAAGCTCCTCCACATCCACCACAAGCCAGTCCGAGGACAGCTCAAGGAGGGAGAAGAAACGCAGGGCCGAAGCCAGCAGGTCACGCATATGCAAATCTTCCGCAACCAATGCAGCCGAAAGGGAAGGAACCTGCATACACACCACCAAGGACTGGACCCAACCACAAAGCACAGCACTGGAACAAGTCTGGAGCCAGAGTCGCATGACCGCCAGGTCTCACATCAGCCACAGAACTGTAGGTATGGATAGCCGGAGCAGGGGTCTGGGGCTCCCCGTTCCTTCTCCCGGGAAGGGGGGATATGCACAGACGGCGGTGCGGTGACGGTTGTGACGTCATGCTCGTTTTTCCTCTGAGGGAATTCTGTTCAACAGTTCAGCTTTCAGTTGTATTATGTTGTAATATTTTAACCAGATAGGGTTTGTTTTGAGGCGCTTACCTTTCTGGGTGCCTGACCCGGTCAAAGGCAGACATAGAATGTTTCTAACCACACGGGGGTTTCTGTAGGCCATTGCTCCTCGTGTCTCTCTGAAGGAGCCAGGTTCTGGCTTGTGGTCCCTGTTTGGCCTAGAACTCCATTCTCCTTGACTGATGTCAGGGTGTAATACATTCATATCAGCCCAAATAGATCCGGGAAGTCAAAGGGGCTCCCACAGAAATAACCATTATGCCGGATGATAACAACCATGAATTTTATTCAACAACTTCATCCAATCATGTACACATCTCTACAGATCTCAAATCTGCTCTATGCAAGTGCAATCCGTGGAAAAATGTTTGACAAGACCAAATTGTTGTTGAGTTGGTAAACTGCAATACCTAGGAGTGCTAATCCAGGGCGAGGCCACACCCGGACCCAACGACTCTCAGCCAGGTCAAAATTCACTTCTAACTCTGAAACTGGCATGCACACATGCTCCCACATGCATATCTATTCAACAATAAACAAAACCAGTTTTTAATACAGGAAAACATCATCCCCTTGAACAGCTGATTTGTTACAACCACCTGACCTTGTTACAACTTATTGTTGGATTCACCATACTGTTTCAGCATTCTTAGCTTAAAAAGATAAAATATAATAACTCACTGACCTGCACAATTCTGGCCAATGTAATTGCTCTATTCCATTTTGGCATATTTTCAAAGTTGTAAATAATTTCATTACACAATGAAGTTGAATCAATATCAACCACTCCCTGAAAAAAAAAGTTGCATATTACTCCCTTAAGTTGCATATTACAGTGGCAGGTAAGTGAGAGGGGGGGGGGGTTCAAACAGTGCCCCAAGAAACAAGGAGTCAACAATCAGTGGTAAATCAGCAGATTTTATTCTCTTGTGAGAGGGGAAGAGGAATAATTAATTTTATAGTTGTATACATTTTTAATGCATAATTTTGATATTTTTGTACAAAATCCTAAGTGCTTGCCTGAAATTTAAATTTGCCATTTCTGGGGGAGTCTCTGGTGGTTACCTGAAGCTAGCTCACTGAGATAGCTTCCCACTACACTCCCTGACCTAACTGCCGGACCTCAATCATTCGTTTATTCCATCTATTCGTTTGCGATCCGACTAGTGACCACCTATGTAGTTCTGCGGCCGGCCACTGATGTAGCCGGTGGCGCCGCTGTTTGTGTTTGTTTACCTGTGGGCGACAAAACCCTCCCTCTCTCTCACTGTTATATATAATTGCATATTTTTTGCATCCTGCTACTAGTGGGTCTGGAAATGCAGGAATATGTTGCTTAGGGCTTCAACTAGCAGCAGTTAAGTCAAGAGAAAATTTATTGTGATGATCTTGGTGCTGCTGACACTGGCAGTTCGTAGACTGATAACTTCCAACTGCAGGGAGGGAGGGTGGCAGGAGAGAGATTTACCTGCCCGAAACGCTGCGCGTGCTAGTGGCTTTACAAGACTGTAATTATCATATTTGTATCCTCACATTCCTTATGTACATTCTTGTATATGCATAAATAAATAAATAAATAAATCTATTATCAGAGCATTCAGCTTATAAAGGAAGATGAATCTGGAATGTCTCCTGTGTGGTGGTGGTGGTGGTGGTGTGGTGCGATAGACGTGCAGAGGAATGTGTGTCCAAAATTGAGATTGTGATTTTCTCTCTCCAGACCAAATTTATAATGCCAATGAAACAAGTTTGTACTGGTGTATCTTAACCTAACCAAACCCAACTAAACATAACCTAACATAACCAAACCCAGCCAAACCAAATCAAACCAAACCAATGTTAACTAAACCTAACCCAAGCAAACCTGACCTAACCTAACCAAAGCAAACCAAACCTAACCAGAGCAAACCTGAATACTCCACTTTGTGAGAGCATAGTCATATCTGCCATTGACCGGGGTTATCACCCAGAATGGTAGGAGGACCATTACAAACCCCCAACTGGTAAAATATTGCAACCTAAGACTGCACAGAGCCCAAGAACTTCTTCCAATAGGAAACAACAAACAAGCAAATGTCTACTCAATCAGCACGCCCACTTGTTGGCGATTCACCCCCCTTCCCTCCAGGCGGCCAAGTGCTGCTGACACTGGCAGTTCGTAGACTGATAACTTCCAACTGCAGGGAGGGAGGGTGGCAGGAGAGAGAGAGCACAGGGACCTGAGCGTGCAACTGCTGCAACCCAATCTCATGAAAAAGTGCAGGGGCATAAAGGCACTTATCGAGGAACTAAAGAGAGCTCCCCCCCCAAGAAAACCTGTAGCACCCACAAGACCTCACGCCACTCAAGCGTGTGGGTATGACAAAAACCGTTCCAAGCCCCCAGAGCAAAGAGAGGGCAGTCTGCAAGCCAGGGTGACACAGGAATCTTATAAAGCACCTAGTACGGAGAAGAGGAACCAAAACGAACACAGTCCTGTTTCAGCACTAGAAACAAGCGGGAAACCCACCTGAGGGATGGGGGTCATTTCAACCACACCTAAGAGCACCCACTCCGAAATGACCCGACGGAGCGCAGGGGAAGAAGCCTACTCTGCCAACAGGGAAAGGACCAAGGAGCACGGACTGAACCAAAGTCGAAGCAACTAATGCCCCCAAGTCCGGGTCCCTATAACTAAAATGGAGCAGCCTCGGGGCATCCATGTGGGCAACCAACCTAGAGCGTTACAGCAACCTAGCATGCAATACAGATGCTACCTGTACCATAATATCAGTGTCATTAGAAGGGGTAAATTGGAGAACAAGCAAGGAGCACGACTCGTAAGACTCCGGGTCAAAGGTGTTGGTGACCCAACAGGCAGCCCGACGGAGGCAAAAAACCAGCGTTGAATGTAATGAAACGCCATTTTCTGGGTGAGCCCCGGAGGCTCCCTGGAGCTTATCGGGCTAATGTATGTTATGTTAGACCGGGACATTAGCTAAGGAGTTCAGACCTACCAGGGACCAGCGCCAGAACCTGGCCCCTTCAGAGAGGTTTCAGGGAGCAATGGCCCTGGAAAACCCCATATGGTTGGGGGTTTTCCTTATCTGCCATCGACCGGGGTTAGGCACCCAGAAAGGTAGGCGTAACAAAACAAACCCCACATGGTAAGAAACTACAACAAAAACCGAACAGAGAGGTAGAAAACTCCCTACAATCCCCAGGAAACTAGCAAACAAGCAAACATCACACTTTACTGCCGCGCCAATCGTCCGCACAGCCCTCCCCACCCCTGGAGGGGGAGGGGGGAGCCCCGGACCTACCGCGCCGGCTGCCAAGCTCCAGTTCGGAAGCTAAGCTTCAACCAACGCGAAAAAACCGCCGACCGGTGGGAAGGAGGGTTTCCAGGGAGCCTCCGGGGCTCACCCAGAAAATGGCGTTTCATTACATTCAACGCTGGTTTTCTGTGGGGAGCCCCTACGGCTCCCTGGAGCTGCATACCCAAAGAGAAGGAAAAGAAAGGGCTAACCCGGGAGGCGGCCGCCACAAACTCTGCAACGCAAAGCCAAGACAACTGGTCGCAAACCTGCGACCCAAGGCAACAAGAACGCCCAAGAACAGACGCACATATGGATGGGCGGCCAAAAACCCGCGCTACCCACAAATCCCTGCGCCCGAAATGAGCCCGAGACGTCACCAACACAGCAGCAAAAGCTGCAAACGTCTGAACAGCACGGGCGCAAAGACAGACCGCAGGCTGGAAGAAGGAAAACACTGCGGACGACCTGGGAGACCCGAGCCCTGAAAACAGGGAACGAAGGAACCGGATCAACCACAGCGCATCCCCAGACACGGTACGCCGGCAACAGCAAAAAGCACAACCGGACAACCCAGGACGCACCCCCCGGCCAAACCAATCAAGCACCAATACCCCAAGAACCCCTCCGGAAAGCAGCCAACACGACCGGCGCCAGGACAGAGAAAGGCTGCACACCTATAAAACTACCACCAGTACCAAAGAGCAGGAAACTGAACCGAAGGGGCTACCACAAACTGAGGGGAAGATAAGAAGGCACCCTGAACAAGGACCAGGATGGCTCAGGCGACGCATGAGCAGGCCGGAGGGGAAACAAAACACGAGAAAACGTAAGAAACGTCATACTGTCTCCAAGACGAAGCTCGCAGGTGGGACACCGTCAACAAAGCCACCTGAACACCATAGAGATGGTGATACCCGCGTCAAAATACCAGACGCGAAGAGCCAAGGAGAAGGCCGAACCAGTCACGGACAGGACCGATTCGGCCTGCTGAAAGAGGCGAAGCCTCAGGAAAAACGCCCCGGGTACGGACACCTAGCAAGCAGCGTCGGAAAAGAAGGCCGGGCCGGCCACCAAGGAACCATAAGGACTGTTCTCGTGGGAATGGGCTGCAACCGAGCCAGAACCCGAAGCAACAGCTGGACCGGGAGAAGAGGAACAGGTACCCCCCACCTCGACCAGTCCTGCCGAAAGCCTCCACCGTGAAGTCCTCGCAGGTGGGAAGGGCGCCACAAAATGGGCGACGCCTAGACCACGCCGACCCGAAGACGTCCATGGCCAGGAGTCCATATGCCCAACAGAGCCAACAAAACGAATCGGCGACAACTGGCCAACCCACGAAGAGGAATGAACCGAGACAGCTGTCCGCCAGGACGCAGGACACACCGCGGACACGAACCACACGGTTAGCCAAACCCCTGTGGTTCCGGCAAGAACCACCAGAGAACAGTCCAAACAGAGCTGAATGGTAGAGTACCTAGTGACCCAAACCCTCCGAAGTGCAAACCAGACAGCCATGAACACCCGAACCGTGCTGTGAGCCCGACGGATAGAGACTCCATCAACCTCGGCCGACCTGGTGAGCACTGGTCACAAAGCCCCAGCCGAGAGACGACCCGTCCGTGAACACGTCGAGCGAAGGCTCGGGGAGGTGCCAAGGCACGGAACCCCGAAAACCCCAAAGAGGAAGCTGGTGACGCAGCACCAACACAAGATCCCCGGAGGAACCCAAGGAATGCAAGAGGCGGAAGGGGAGTCTCCGCAGGAACCAACCGACGCCGTAGCCAAACCCGACTCCACGGGCAGACAAGCACGCCGAAGTGCAGACTCCCGCACAACCGCCCAAGCAACCACTGAGCAACCCGGGACCCCTTCCTGAACAGCCAAAGGCGGGACCACAGCCGCAGTAACACTTCTGGAGGGAAGACAATGAGGGGCCCAAGAGCCTTAAACAAGGCCCAGGTCCGAACCCGGGACGGAAACAGATGGAAAAACCTCCAGATCACCAGGAAACCAAACCCGGCGATCTGGAAAGAACCATCCCCTGGCGAGCAGACAAGCGGACTGACTGGGAGCCCACACCAGCCAGTCGTCGAGGTAGGCCAGACACCGAATCTCAGACTCAGACAGGGCACTAAGATCCGGTAAAGATGCAAAGAGTATAACGAAGTGCCCATTACAAAATAGGGAAGGCAATAAAAACCTGAAGCCCCACCACCAACCGTGCTAGCCCCAGAAAAACTGGAGAGGAACGTGCCAAGAAGTGACCTGGAGGTCCAGGGCCACCATCCATGCACCCGGCCCTAACAGAATCCGAACAGGAGACAACAGTCCTCCGAGGAGGGCAGAGGACCCAGGGCGCAGACTGAAGAAGTCCAGAAGAACTGCAGACGGGAAAAGCTCATGACTGCAAAGAGCAGACGGGAAGCCCAGAAGGATGGGGCAGATCGACCACGCCCCACGCACCCACGAAGAGGAAATGACGAAGCGCAGG